GCCGCGGCCTTGGTGTGATTGTGGTGGTCTATTTACCTTCTTGGTTAATTTATTCGCCTCAGATATGTCCTTTGTCAATTTGGACAGGTCTCCAAATAAATATTCGGATGATGAGGGAATGGTAGAAGTGTTACATAAGGCTGCGCAATCCCTGTGTAGGTCTTTCTTCATTGCCTGTCTCCTCGTGTTATTCAGGTCATGTAGACAATTCATTGACAGAGCTATGCCGTCTGTTAAACACTTGAGAAGCTCTTTGTTCTYGTTCCCGCCACGCTTCACTAGCATGTCCGTGGCTCTCGTCATTGCGGCAATCGATGCCACTAAAGATTGTTCCGTCTTCTGGAACTTTGAATCCTGTGTGCGGGCCTGTGCCGGCAGTGAGCTCCATATCAGTGGATTGACCCGCGGGGTCCTCAGGCCTTYGATATTTTTAGGCCTGGGGTATGTTTCGACCTTCTTTTGGGTCTTTTCGTCCTGCATTTTATCTTTTAGCAGGCTAGTAATTATTTTGGCCAGCTCCTCGTCAATTGGACTTCCCGTCTTCTCGCTTAAGTCGAGGTCTTCTGCGATGTCTTSGAGAGCGTTTGATTTGTCCTCAGTAGACTGCCTGAGCTTATCGACCTTSGCGCCCAACGACACGATTGACTCGGCGTCATCATCGGCCTCATCTTGGCCAAGCTCTCCATCTTCTAGGTCGGCATTGTCGTCTAGCTCGACCGGCGCTGTAACTACGTCCATTTTTTGGTTCATGGACTTAATCTCTGCTAGCAGGGAGGAAAACAGTGTTTGCACTGTTGAATTTAAAGTTGGTGAAGACGCTTCCTTTGGCGCCTCGTGCACGTCGGCACGGACAGTTGTGGCGATTCCGCCGTGATTGTCTTCGGTATCACTCATAATTCCACTCTAACTCCGTTAGAGCTTGGTATACAATTCTAACTACGTTAGAAGATCTTGTAAAATTTTCTCTATAGTGATCTAACTACGTTAGATTTTAACAAACTAAAGAATAA